AAAATCAAAATCTGGATTTGAATTTTTTATGTTATTATAACCTAAAGATGCTATGTGAAAGTTTGAAACAGAAAATAGTGGTTTTCATCTTGACACTTTCTTGTTAAGAAAACACATTTTTACTCAAATTAATCAAAATGGATTTATAGCGTTTTGGAACCAAACTCTTCATATATATATATATATATATATATATATATAAATATTTGTGTGTTTGTGTGTGTGTGTATTTTGTGTGTTTCTGTCATTTAATGATGTTTTAGCTCATTGGAGAGAATTACTCAGTTTCTAAGACATCCTGCTTTGCTTTGAGTGTTACATATGGACTCTTTGACTGTATCATCTCTGTCTCCCTCAACGGGATCTCAGCTCAGTGTGGATGACATGAAGTTACTTGCTAAACTAGAGGAACAGAACAGGTCACTTCTTCACACCCATACCACACTGTTTCCAAGAAACAACAATTTAAACTAAAAAGTTGCACATTACATTACTGATACATCTCTGTTTCCACACTGTGTGCCCAACTTGTTTTCTATAGGTTTAAGATTAGACAACATAATTTCTTTCTTTCTTTCTTTGTTTTTCTTTCTTTCTATTGGCATTCTGCATCAAACAAACCTTTTTATCAGAAGTTTTTTAAATGCTGTGTGTGTGTGTGTGTGTGTGTGTGTGTGTGTGTGTGTGTCATTCATGTTTATCAAACATCTCAAAATAGTGCTTACTAAAAGTATGCTATTTATTTGTCTGTTTATTTATTTGTTTATTTTTTATTGCCATTCAACATGAAACATTATTAGATGCATTTTAAATGCTGATCATGTTGATCATACATCTCAAAACAGAACTTATCAAAAGTAAATTTATTTGTTTTTATTGACATTCAGCATCAAACTTTCTATCAAACATTTTTTTAAGACTGCATGTATATATCATATATTCAGGTTTATCTTACATCTCAAAATATACTTATCAAAAGTATGCTATTTATTTATTTGTTTGTTTAATTTATTTTATTTACCTTTAGCATCAAACCAACATTATTATATATATTACAAATACTTTATGTATATTTAATATATTCATGTGTATCATGCATTTCAAAATAGTACTTATAAAAATAATGCTATTATTTATTTATTCATTCATTCATTCGTTTAATTTATTTTCATATACATTCAGAACAAACATTAGATGTATTTCAAATACTATTTGTATACATTATTAAATTTTTTGTATACACAATGTTTTATATAAATTGATACAGCTTAAATACTCACTTATTTTGGATTATTGTAAAGAATTAAGGTTTTTATAAATGGCAAGGATTAAGTCATTCTTTCCTAATAATTAATCCCTCAGTTCTATTTGGTGTATGAAATTGAGAAGTACACATCATATCTACACTCCTGTTTTCCTCAACAGACTGCTAGAGACTGACAGTAAGTCTATGTACTCTGTGAATGGGGTCCTGCGAAGTCCCACCTCACCCAAAACCCTCTCTTTTGAGGATGGCTTATGGGGTAATGTCATTAAAGAATGGGACGATTGGCGAAAGAGAAAAGTGGGACAGATCAAGGTAATCAACTTATCGATCCACAAGTTTCATATCATTATTTCAGTCTCTTCACTCAGTTTGCCTTACTATTCTTCCCTGATCCCTGATCACCTGCTGGCCATTGTGTGGCAGCTGTTGTGTGACGCTCAGAATGTTGATGTGCGGCAGAACAGAAGTACTCAGATCTACTGAAGAGCTCGTCTCCCTCTGAGAAGCTGATACTCAGAGACCTGACACGTATCCTCCCTCAACACCAGCTCTTTCACAACAAGGTCGCTACGTGCCAGAAACCACTGTTTAATGTGCTGAAGGTTAGATAACAGAGAATCTCTATCTGTGATCATACAGAAAAAAATTAAGAATTATGCATTTTAGGAGTATAGATAACACAATGCGGATTTAATTGCAGGCTTACTCAATCTTGATTGGCTACTGCCAGGGAAGTGTGTTTATTGTAGGTCTATTGCTCACACAGGTAATGAATTGCTTTTTTAATTGAAATTATATAGTTACAAATTATAGTAGCTAGTACTAGTCAATGAATTGAGATGATCACCTTTTTAAATGGCTGAAGAGGAGGCCTTCTACATTTTTGTGAGGCTAATGAAGGACTTCAGAATGAGGGAACTGTATAGATCTAATATGGTTGAACTCAGCTGCTGCATTTACCAGTTTGACACTATGATTAAGGTAAACAATTACAAGTAATTCTACTCTTTTTAAAAGCACATGGATTATTTATAAAATGTCCTTTCCAAAAACCCTGAGCTGAGTAAGCCACATAAAGCCTGTTACAAATGATCTGCTGAAGTATCTTTCCATTTCCTGCTAAATGTCAGATTTCTGAGAATTGCACATTTGACAAGAACTTTGTTGTAGATGTCCAGATTTGGTGTTTTGTAAATCGGGGATAGTGGGATAAAGCTATGTCACTTTTATTTACCTACTATGTTGTCCTCTACGCAATGAGAAATTAGATAAAACTTGTCTAAATGATGTCTAATTCATATATTTTATATATAATATAAAAATAATGAATTTTCATTACATGTCATTACTCCAGTCTTCAATGTCATATAATCCTTCTGAAGGATCATTCTAATATTTTGATTTAGTACTGAAAAACATTTTGTATTATTATCAATGTTGAAAACATTTGTGCTTCTTAATATTTTTCTTGAAACTGTGATAACAATTTTTTCATGATTCTTTGATGAACAGAAAATGTAAAGAATGCTCCAGTTACTAACGTAACCTTGGTTCCCTGATATGAGGGTACGAGCGTTGCGTATACACGCTTATGGGGGAAACTCCTGTTTACTCCTGTTATACTGAAGCCTGATTTGTTCACGTTCGTGTACCTGCACAAACAAATGGTGCTTCAACCCGCCAAAAGGGGAGGAGCCAACTACTAAAAGCTAAGTCGGCTCAGAGCGCTATTCTTCAGAATCTTTCAACTGTCAGCGACAGCCATCAACTTGTGTGCAGACTTATAGCATGCCAGCTTACGCAACGCTTGTTCCTTTATCTCAGGGAACCAAGGCTACATTAGTAACCGGAGCATTCCCTTTTGAATGGTCTCTCCAGTTGCGTATACACGTTTATGGGGAACGCATCCAATAGTGCTGTGCTATTAAGTAAATGCAGAACTAAGTCGCTCTGCATGCCCAGCCCTGGAGCGCCCGAAACGAGGGCCCCTAAGAAGCATGAGCAAAGAATGAGCCCCAAGCTAGCCTGCTGGGGACTACATAGCTAAATCTTTTCCACTCAAAGAGGAGATTAGGTGAATTTAAGCAGACAAGATCATGCCTGAAGGGCAGGGACATCTAAATTATAAAACATTGTAAAGGTTGACAGCAACGACCAGCTGGCAGCCGCACAGATGTCATCAATAGAGATCCCACTGGACAACGTCCAGGAGGAGGCCATCCCTCGAGTGGAGTGGGCCCTCACCCTAATAGGGCATTTCATACGAGATAGTCATTGCTTCGTAACATTGCAGCCCTTTAGAACGGCCTCCAAAGCATACAAAAATGCTGCTCTGATTCCCGAAATGGGCCAGAGTGCTCAACGTACACTCTAAGAGCCCTAACTGGGCAGAGTGGACAGGGACCCTGCTTGTCTTCTGTACTAGGAAGAGCTTGAAGGGTAATAACCTGTGCTCTGAACGGGGTTGACAGCTCTTTAGGCACATAGCCGTGTCTTGGTTTGAGGATGACTTTACAGTTGTTAGGCCCAAACTCAAGGCATGAAACACAGACCAGATCATTTGAACCGATTGGGGATGTAGTCTCCATTCTCTTGGTGCTACTTTGCCCCTGGACAGCATGTCCGCTCCTTGGTTCAGTCTGTCCTGTGCCGAATGAACAGCACGAATGAACTGTTCTTAGCGAGAGGAGATAGTGATGTGCCCATAAAAGGAGGCATCACGCCATCCTGTAAAAGGAGTGTGACCTGAGACCACCTTGGTGATTTATGAAGGCTACGACCGTCATGTGGTCTGAGCGGAAGGCTTTCAGGGCCAGAGAAACCCCCATCATTTCAAGGCAGCTGATGTGCAAGCATTGCTCCAGGTGTAACCTAACCCATCTGTCTTGACTACCTTCCTCCTGGAGGTCTGCCCCAACGACGCCTGACTGAAACAGGCAAGAATTGCTCCAAGGGTTCACAGCTTTGATGCAGTGGTGGGTTACCCTGAGATGAAGATGCCCCAGGCACCAAGCATGGGACAGTACATGGGCGTTGAGCCAAAATTGAAGGGGACACATGCAGAGCAGGCCCAGAGGAATCACAGAGGAGGCGGGCGACATAAGACCGAGCATCCTCTAAAAAACTCTGAGGGGACGCAAAGTCCCTCATTTGAATGTTATCAGACAATGTTAATGAAATAACATCATCCTCCAGCGGCTCACTCTCGTCCACAAACCCCTCTTCAAACTCATCGGCCAGATCCACCTGCGATCCCCACGAGCTCATTCTCCTCCGTGCCTCAGCAGCGGCGGGTCCTGAATCGCGGGAAGCAGATGGCTGCCCCTCTTTCCTCGAAAATAGAGACAAACGAGAGCGGAGCTTTTTCCTTGAAAAAACGCTCGCGGTGCATGCCGATTGCCCCCTCGGAGACATCGTGTGTGTGCTCTTCGCCCAAACAAGTAACGCATAGATCGTGTGTGTCATCAGATGTTAAACAACGACAACACGGATGCACACATCCTCTAAACGCTTTGCTAGTGCTCGCCATAATGATATGAATAGAGATCGCTCTTACCACAGAAATACACGCTTCAAACAAAACAGTCAATGAAGACGAAGAAGAGGATGATGTGTTCTCCCGGTGCCTATTTATACTATAGTCGCACCGGTAGTGATGTCATGGCTGTCGCCGGCCAACGTGTTGTTGGTGTTTTTTCAATGTATGCTTCAGACACGGGTCACGACGAGGCGTTCCCCATAGCGACCCCTAGAGGACGCAGTTCGAAGTTCCCATGAAAGGGAACTCATTAAGCTTGATGTAGAGGGAATGATGAACGTAATGGAGCACCTCAATGAAATTACATTTTTGTTTAGTTTTTTTCCACTTGCTAGCTTTAAGGATTTTTAAATGTTTTTGTATGTCTTTGAAATACTGCCACTTTGAGTGATTCTGTTGTTTTCAGTGCTTGGAGAATCTAGAGTCATGGGATTCAGATCCTGATGGAATGATTGAAGCAGCATATCAAATAAAATACAACCCCAGCAGAATGAAACAGTATGTGCTTTTCCTTCCTTTTTTTTCTTGTTTCTGTGTTTGCATATCCAATTGTCTATAAAAACAAAATTATTTGTTGTATTTGTTTTAGATTGAGACAAGAATATGCATCTATCAAAACAAAAAAGCTGGAGGAGCAGCAGTGCTTGTTTGTTTCTCTTCATATAATATTTCTCAACAGTACAGAAAATCTTGTCTTGAAGGTTATGAATCAATACCCAAGCCATTTTCAGCCACTGCAAATGCTTAGTTTGGTCTCTTGCCTTACCTTAAAGGGGTCATATGATGCGATTTCATTTTTTCCTTTCTCTTTGGAGTGTTACAAGCTCTTGGTGCATAAAGAAGATCTGTAAAGTTGCAAAGACTAAAGTCTCAAATCCAAAGAGATATTCTTTATAAAAGTTCAGAGTCAGCCACACCTATCTAAAACGGCTCGTTCTAACACGCACCCACATGTCTACATCACTATGTGGGAAGATTTGCATAACGCTGCCCAAATGTTTACGCAAAGAAAGAAGGCGTAACTTTTATTCTTCATACTCGCTGTAGTATTGTTGTTCCCGCCGCCGCCACGTTGTGAATGCGCTGTGTGATTCGTTGTGAAAACGAAACTACTTTGTTTGGCCTTCTCAAAGAGGATGATATCTGCTTCGTCATGCCTGGAGCTGATCCGTGCTGGTTGCTGAGGAAATGCTACAACTTTGCGCTGTGGATTGCCAGATCGGCTTTCACCGTGGACGAAGCGGAGTCCAGCCCGGGGTCGTCACATGTGGTTGCCGCAAGCCCTCCGGATGCTCCTTCGCGCCTCTGCTCACTCTAGCCCTCCGGCCATTCCTCACTTTATCCCCGGCCTCTGCTCACTCAAGATGCAACGCGTAAAAAGACAGTATAAGTCATTATAATCCATAATTATGTCCCCACTGGATGCAACGAATGCCTCGTTTATAATGGGGGTATAAAAACAAAAACACATGTTTTTGAATCATCGCTCCGGCCTGACAGGGCATCATCACAGTGTGTTAAGGGGTGTAACAGTTCCGTCACACGCTCGAGGTATTCGGCCAATCACAACGCACTGGATTTTTGAACCTTAAACCGCATAAACACATTTCATTATACCAAATACACAAAATAATGTGATTTTTAGCAGCATCATATGACCCCTTTAAGGGACTTTCCTCCTTACTGGAGAAGGTAAGTATATTGCAGTGCCTTTATGTTCATGTTAATAAATTTTTTCTAAAGATATGTTCATGCTCTTACTCCCACATGTGTTGACCTACCAACGGTGCTCATAAAAACTGGTGTCACAGCTGAAGAAAGAGCTGGAGAAAACTCAGCTAAACACAGCCAGGTCACAAAGCACTTTAAAAGAGTTGCAGGCAAACATCTGGCAGATAGAAGAGGTCAACATGAAGTCAAATCTTCCATGCAAACTTGTTTTAAATACATTAATATAAAGCA